TCCAAATTTCATAAATGTTGCATTTTTGGATGTACACTTTTTGTTGGGTAATTGTGTTACTTTTCCTTACTTAAAGGCAACATTCGTTGAGGTGAGCTCTGTAATCTCTGATTACCTATGTTTATATCAGCTAAGGGAGATTACTCATTTTTATGCATTCTTTCTAGGACTGACATGCATGTGTATGCATATGTGGTAGTATGTAATACCAAGACCTTTTGACCATATTGAAGGTAATTCATGTGTTTTATGTTTGTGTAGTTCTATTATATACGTATGTGTTGACAGAACTTTATTTTGAGTATTTGTCTTGCATGTTTACATTTTGTGTTGAATTGAATTTCATTTGTATTCAGTCGAATGCATGAAATCATATTTCTGTGTAAATGTTCAGTAAGATTATTTGATTCTGAATTATTTAAAATCAGATAATGATTATGATAAATTATTATGATTTTCTTTTATTTTAAATTACTAAATTGTCAAAGGAATTATTTTTATGATGAATTGATCTGTGATAAAGAAGTGGTAATTATTTTTATATAAATTTAATACAAAGAGAATATGAACTATAAAATACATGTATGAATTTGTAATGATAACAAATACTATATTGCAGTTGTATACATATTTTTCATCTTGTCTAATAATTGTTATTGTTATTACAGGGTCTACTACTACTTATACTTGTACTACTAATAAAATCAACTAAACCAGAAAAATGATGTTGTCATTCCAAGAACCCTATTACAGTAATAAGAACATAAAGTCCGCCGAGAACCTGTTTTATACGCAATAACTCTCTTCATGCTCTGTGCTAAAAATAGCAACATGTAATACTATAAATACTAATAAAACAAACGGGGCGGGGCACTTTGAGAGGGGTGAGAGAGGTCCTAGGGAAATAAAATTACATTGCATAAACTCAAAATCTTCTTGAAATATCGCCCGGAAGTGATAGTATTACACACAGACAGAATGTATAAATTCACGACCTTGAACTTTGACGTTTTGACCTCGAAATCAATAGGGGTCTTCATTAGGCCACAGGGAGTTGTTATGTGAAATTTCATTGCAATAGCTCAAATGGTTCTAGAGATATCGTGTGGAAACGAAAGTGTTATAACAGACAGAATTTGCTTAATTATGACCTTGACCTTTGACCTTTTAACTTCAAAATCAATAGGGTTCTTCCTTACACCATAGGAAGTTGTATAAAATTTCACTGCAAAAGCTCAAAGGCTTCTCGAGATATCTTGCGGAAACGAAAGTGTTACAGACAGACAGAAAGACGGACGGACGGACGGACGAAACCCAAATTAATATCCCCCACTTTTCAAGCGGGGGACAATAAAAGCGTTTGAATGACATAATTATGTACCATATTAGTCACTAAGTACATAAAATCACATGAGAACAGAACTTCCCGTACACACAGCATCGGGCGCTGCTCATGATCAAGAAACTATATATACACATAAAATAAAATTAAACAGAGCAATATGCAAATGAGGTTAAATTATAAGCTAATTTGTATGGACCATTCAGCAATATTTATTTTATCTTGTAATATTTACAACACGTTTCCATTTGCCAAACCGTTATTATATGAAAAAAAGATTTGTACAAATATTATTCTATTTCCATTTTGTTAGGACTTTGGATTGATGCGTGCGATCTAGCAAAAGAGGGTCAATGGATGTTGTTTTCATCCGGGAAGAAAGCCACATACACACCGTAGCACAGTTCTGAACCAAACAATAATAAATCTGTTGAGCATTGCGTTGTCATTCGATTTATTGATGGTGCAGAAGAATGATATGATGGGAATTGTCGCAGCTCGTTTAATTTTCTTTGCGAAAAGACATTGTACTAAATGTCAATCACATTTTTTTTGATTTTTGGTATTTTTCCTTGATGTATTGAAATAAAATGATAATAAGGAATGATTTATGGTTAACTCTGATTTAGCTCATTCCAGATGCGGATGCAAATAGGTTAGCTCACATCAGCTAACAACACCTAATGCTCACAGGACCTAATACCACTGCTTGAAAAGCAGGGAGTGCATATAGTGAAGGGGTGCCCGTCCGTCCGTCTGTCTGTCTGTACGTCCGTCTGTCTTTGGGTATCCATCTCTTATCCGCAAATTCTCTTATACCACTGCATGCATGGAATTTAATGAGAGTTTTTCAGAATCTTTGTTACATAGTACCATTAAATTATACATGCATCTCCTATTTTATTTTTTTTGGACACATATTTTGGGTTTCCCATAGCAAAACATGAACACACTACCATTATTTCTCTGTAATAATATTGATGGGCACCCATCTCTTATCCAAGACTCCTTCTATACCACTGAGTAAAATTTAATGATACTCTCACAGATTCTTTATTACAAATGGCATCGTGCACCAATTTCCTTTCATAAGCTGACACTTATTTCAGGTCTCCCAGAGCAAAACATGGACTTTGTCATTGAATAGGAGGCGGTGGTAATCATTCAGTGAGCTCAATGCTCATTTTTTAACCAAAAAATATTCATTTTTACAACCCCTTGTCCTCAAATAAACCAAAAATGCTGATCAATTAATAATACAACCATTCTGATTAATAAATTAACAATTCTAGTCCCCTGATAAGTGATCTGGTTTCCTTATTATAAAATTTAAAATGCTGCTGATTCTATGAAATATTAATGTATAAAAATAATCTATTATTCATCCAAGTAGTCTCACATACTAAAAGTCAGCTCCTTATCTAAAGACTCTTAAAAAATTGGAAAACTAATTAGGATGGACTTACTAGGAGAGGTATACAGACACACAGACAAAGAGTGAGGGATATATTCCCCTCCAGTTTTACTGTTACGAGCTACATATAATTACAGGCAAATACTAGTATTGGTAGGTAAATGACAATACAACATGCTAAAATATATTTAAGGAATGACTCTAATTCTTGGCCATATTATCGAGTATAATCTGGTTTGGGTCAGTTTACGCTTTATAATCCGCGAAGCGGATTATAACAAAGGAGTGCCACAAGGAGTGCCACAAGGAACTGTCCTGGGACCACTCCTTTTCCTAACCTACATAAACGACCTTCCTGAGTGCACCAAATCAGACGCCAGACTGTTTGCGGATGACTGTCTCGTATATCGACAGATCCGAAACCAGAGAGACGCAGACAAATTACAGAAAGATCTCACAGCCTTAGAAGGATGGGAAAAGAAGTGGCAGATGTGCTTCCATCCGGAAAAGTGCACAGTCATTCGGATCTCCAACAAAAGACTACCACTGCAAACATCATACACCTTGCATGGACATCAGCTGGAAGTGGTGGAGAGTGGGAAGTATCTTGGTGTTACCATCTCCCAAGACCTACAGTGGAACAACCATATACACACCAAGATAGGGAAAGCTACAAGAACTCTGGGCTTCCTGAGACGAAACCTTGGCCAGTGCACACCAACAGTTAAAGCAACAGCATACTGTACCATGATCAGACCATCGATCGAATATGCGTCACCAGTATGGGATCCCTACCAGACCAACTTAACAAAGGATCTAGAGCAGGTACAGCGTAGAGCGGCCAGGTTCGTCTTTAATCAGTACACGGATACCTCCCCCGGGTGCGTAACATCTTTACTTGAACAACTAGAGTGGGACTCACTCCAGCATAGGAGAACAACACATCGATTAGTCCTATGCTATAAAATAAGGAATCGCCTGGTGGACATCAACCCAGACAAGTATTATACACCCGGGGACAGAAGAACTAGAGGTAGCCATAGATACAGACAGCCTCGTGCCACCAAGGAGGTCTACAAGAATTCATTTTTCCCACGGTCGGTGAGAGACTGGAACCGCCTACCAGAGGAAATTACAGCAGCCCCTACTATACAGGAGTTCAGGACTGGACTGAACAGCGTCCCCTGGACCCAGCTGCAACCCTGGTAGACAAAGACAGCCACATTGTATATAGTTTTAACCGTTTTTAAAGAGGAAGCCTTCTGTTTTTAACCGAGCTGGAGTTATTAACACTCTGTATAGAGTTCAACTCCCTACCGGAAGAAGAAGAAGAAGGGGGGGATACATAGATCTAGCAGCCATGATGTTTGTTTACATGAGGTAAGAACGAGTAATTGATTAAAGTTGAAGGTACATTTATTAAATCTGGAATTTTCCATGGATTCCGAGGACTGGAAATGAGGGGATTGCATGGATATGATGATTAAGCTGGTCGTCAAGGAGGTGTGTCCCCATACCAAACCAGATTATACAAAATGTTATGCGTTCCTTTTTGGAAATCAACCAATGAGAGGCGAGAATACAAATAAAATTAAATTATAAGTATTTATAGCCTAATGTATTTGGTCAATGAAATGCCAATTCATGTCATCATGAAACACATAGGTACGAGTGGTACTATATGAAAACAAAACATAAATTACATCAGTCAGTGCTCTTACAGACTTATACATGTACATTTATAAATATTCATACAAAAATACACAGTATATACAATGTACACGTAGCAGCTCTAGGACTACTTTCTTGCATAACACAAAATGCCCGTCAAACAATAACAATATCCATGTACACAGAAAAAAATTATAATGGTCACTATAGAGAAGAAAAGACACAATGTATGCATGGAGATATGAAAAAGAGCTTCCCGTGTTACAGTGTCATAAACATTCTTCCCTCGATCCCTGGTCGTGTCTGCTCCAAAAAGTAAAAGTCACAATGCTTTGTAGAATCAAATTCCACGCTGAAGTCATCCCTAGGATGTTATCAAAATCACCACCATTGAAACACAGAAGGCGACCATCAGCAAGATGTGGAAATATAGGAACACTTCTTTTTTAATAATCTAAGAGGGAAAAATGTTCTCATTTATTGAATTTCAAGGTAATAGAGGACGGTAATAAAATGTGTTAAAAAGAAATGTAAAATTTTATATTGTAATCATCAAATATACTTTCGCATCATTTAAAACATGATAGTCAACTACTCAGTATTTGTATATATAAGAGATAACAATGCATGAATTTAGGGTTTTAATTCTTTATGTACATACCGGACTTTCTTCAAACTGAATGCTTTTTTCGCTCTTGTCACCAGCATTTTTCATTTCCATGGCTACATGGTTATCTAGATAAATGAGCATATCATAGAAATATATTTCAAACACTGGGCCCAGTGGGTTGCCATTTTTATTGTGAACAAAAATTATTGGTGCGCAAACCATGGTATCTTACCAGGCTTGGGGTAATGCTAATTGTAATGGTAATGCATTGCAATGCATTACATGAACTCAAAGTAATGCTAGTAATGTGTAATGCCCAAAAAATTGCATTACATGTAATGGTAATGTAATGCATTACTTCATAAAATTCAGTGTAATGCTGGCATTACATAGCATTACACAGCATTATTTTGTAAGATAAGTACCTATTTTAAGAAATTGAAATTGACATGGATGATGGAAATTACTGTTTAGGTTTGATTTATTTATTTTTATTTCTATTTTTTTTTTTCAAATGATGCTATTGAATAAAAGTGTTAACCTATTTAGATAACATTTCTGTATCTATTTAAATACACCTTTAAATTTATTCTGTTGAAAGTACACATACCTTGCATTTAAGTTTTCAAACTTATTTCAGATAAGAATTGATTTCAAAGAATTATATGAAATAGTTTTAAAAGATCTTTTTTTAAAATTGCATATGAGATACACCGATTAATGTACACAGCTGTAAACTGATAATTGGTACCTTTTGAATGGCTAGAGTGTCATCAAAACAAACTAGGCCTAAAACAATGCATTGTTTGGAGAAGTGCTCCAAATTACTAGTCCTTTTCTCCTGACTGTGTTTATAAAACATTAATTAAGCTGGTCTAAATTCCACTGTACCAAAGGAAATAGAGAAAATAGAAGCCATGCAGGCATTCTATGTTTCACTGTGCTTAGCAGATGATAATGCATATTCTGTCTACTTTTTGAAAAAGTTTGTCAATGCATTTATTTTGTTCGTAAGGTACTAATAAAAATAGCCTATATGCTTTATTATTAGATATTTAAGGCAGGGGTTAAAGTGCCCCAAAAGTTAAAGAAGATGGGTGTATAAGGCGGGCAGAATGCCTATAGCGCGACAGATAAGAAGGGAAAAAAATTAATCACAATTATATCCAAATTTTATGTCATATCTCATCTAATATTGAAGTATACTTAATGTAAAATCTCTATAATTTACAAAGTTCTCACAAAAACTGAAAATATTTGCCCGTGAAAAAGCATACACAGACTTAAAAGAACAAAAACGATCATTTTTTCATACTTGAACAAAATTTTTCAATGTGAGTGGGTCTTCGCTCCATTTTTTTGAAAGATAATCCTAACAGTTTGCGATAAAATATATATTTTTGGGTTTACAAAAAAATGGAGGGAAGACCCACTATACCTTAAAAATACACTTTTATGACAAAACATTCGCATATTTCCGAGAAATACTTTAAGTCCATTAATTAATAAGTCAAGGATCATATCACAAACATGATTTAAATGCCACCACAACACATGAGCCATGTAGCATAGTGGTTAGCGCGTTAGTCTCAAAGCAGTCTGATACTGCGGTATTTTATTGCTGGGGTTCGAATCCCACGAATACCAAAGAATATTTTTATAAATGAAATTTTTTAAAGAGATTTATTTTCTCTCCGAAAATGTTTTTCCCCTCATAATTTCATAAATTTCAATAATGAGATGTAAATTTAGATACTCAATTTACATATCAAATGTAATTTCTTAATATCTGATGCTATAGGCATTCTGCCGGCCTTATACGCCCATCTTCTTACTTCATGACTTCAATAGTTCCACAAAAAGTGGATATTGTACATGTGTTATAAAACTGGCAATTCAGAACTTTGAACTTTCTTTGATTGTAAGTTAATGACATTGTAATATATACAAAAACTTGAAATCAAATTTGATCGAATTATCATTTATCATGTTTAGTTTTGTAGGGGGTTGATACACTTATGAAGAAAATATTGCAAAGTTTTGTATAAAATTCTATTTTTAAAAACCTCAAAAAGTAATGGTAATGCATTACTTTTCTAAAGTAATGGTATTGTAATGCATTACTTTAAGGAAATAGAGTAATGGTAATTTAATGCCCAAATTGTTGAAGTAATGGTAATGGTAATGCATTACTTTCAATGTAATTCGCCCCATGCCTGTCTTTTACCATCTCTTAAAAAATAGATATGTCAAATTGAATTGAGTCAGTGATGATTGCACGTAATTTCATGATTATTGTCATAGTTATTTTAAACAAAATTAATTCTTCAGGAACAAAGAGAAGTTGAAAAAAACTTGAATCAAAATTTCACAAAATGTTACCATTTTTTAATAAAAAGAAGTGGTTATCATATGAATTTGTCTTTATATGTGTAGGACTCCAAAGTGCGATGGGACTCCAAAGTCCGATGGTCACGCCAAAGTCCGATGGTCTGCGCCAAACCCCGATGGTTTGACACGCTAAAGTCCGATGGTGCGGAAAACATTTAACGTTCATGACGTCATAGTACTACTGCACCAAACCTCAATGCCGCACCATGCCAACGTCTTAACGTAGAACCTACGTCGTATGACATCATAACTAGTGAATGTGTTTAGCCTGTGCTAGATGCATTATGACGTCATAATTAATTCAATGTCATTTCCCGTACTTTTCAGCTTCAGTATAGAAATGGTAGAAAAAACTGCATTTTGAAATTCACAGAATTCAATTTAAAATCATGCCAAAATAATCTTAATATTCGATTTATATAAATATTTTTAATATAATGCTTAATGACAATATATCTCTTGAATTAGAGAAACCTGTAGGCACCTTTCATTTGATAGATCTTGACCTTAATTAAGTTGACAAATTCAAGACTATATTGTGCGATGAAATTGCCATGTATACAACAAACTGTAATAATATAAAATGGTATGTAATTATTTTGAAGGAATGCAAAAATCTTTTTAAAAAATCGTCAGCTGCCAACTACCGGTAAAGAGTGTAATATCTTGATGTAATGTGTCTAAGTCAAAGATGTACGTGTTGTAGATTGTGTGTACATTTTGTTATATCTATCATGAAATGATGTGCATTCCATTTCATAATTATTTGTTACTTATTCATATTCATGGGGTTTTATTACAACTTCTCTATTAAATATTAGCTTTTAAATTAAATGTACAATTTTTTATAAACATTTTGAAGCTGAAATAAGCCCCGAACAGTCATTTAATAACAAAATGCGTGTAAGTGCAAAAAGGTCAAGAATATTAGTATCGGTAAATAACCTATCTCTCATTCGTTAGAGGAGAAAGGTATACATTTTAATCACTTTTTATAATCATTTGGGTATGTTCTTTATTATATTAAAGATTGAAAACACTGTGACAAAGTCTTCTGATATATATTTACAAATGTAGGTCGGAAAATTGACTGAAAATAAATAGTGTTCATTTGCCTATAGTGTTGAAAATGTGGACTTTTCTTTTATGTCAATTGAATAAAAAAGAATTTTATTCTCGGGAAATATTGTTTAATACTGTTCAGTTAATAAACAATAAAAACAACGATGTTTAAAGAAGCAATTCTGGGATTTTGTTGTCTTCTTTGCATGACAAGTACCCCTAAAATGACTGAAATTGTGAAGTCGAAGTATGTGTAACCAGGGTTATGTATTATTTAATGCCTTTAATTACTATACTAGCGCTGCGTATATGTGAGAATGTGGTGTGAAAAACTTTGTGTGAATGAGGTTGTTGTTATTTTTTGACACTAGACGGACAGTCACATGACTTTATCCTATTCACCAAATTCCCGCTTTCACGCACTAACATCGGGCACTCTGAGCCTAGCCGTTGAATTGGTTAGATGTGTACTCTACTCTATAGTCAATAACAGATAGTAATATTTGTAATTCCTGTGTGTGTCCCGGTAAGAATCTATTCTAAAGTAAAGTCTATTATGTTTTAATTATCTGTCTAAATGTCTGTCTATGTGTCGTCTATATGTTGTGTGTAATTGTAATATTTCAGGTTTTTGACGTCTTATTTCAACATTAATAAATATAATATTGAACCTGAACCAGATTGTTAGTTCTGATGTTCTACCACTGGCTACAAATGGCGCCCACGCAATTCTAATAAACCGGGACATCACACCAAAGCTTTATTTCCTTGGAATCTCAATCCCCGGGGGACGGACTTATTGAGACGAGGACCGTGGCTGAGACGAGCCGGAGCGGTTACTTCTATTTTCACGCCAGTACCTATACCATGGAAACCCATATGAAGAGGTGATTCTGTGTGTGTTTGTGCCTGTGCGTTTATATTCCGTTATTACCAAGGAACGACAGAGTGAAAAAGTGTGTCAACTTTACGACGAATTCAGTGTTTCACGAATGGCGGGAATACGCACGGATCCAAAGGCGCGGCGAACCACGTGACCCGCACGAACCGCATTGATCCGCGAGGAAACTCGGAACTAAGCAACGAGGCCTCAGGTACTGTGTAATTCAGTGATTACTTATCTGTTCTTATATGATGTGATTATCCTGTGTTGTATTTGTGTCTGTATTTGTGCTGTGAAAGATTGAATTTGTTTTGTCATTTTGTCATCTTCTTGCATAGGGAATTCCCGAGTTTATTTTTAGATCTAAATTTAGAACAAGCTTCCGGAAATTCTTTAAACAGCTGATCGATCAATTTTGTTTTTCGATTTCTTTATTTTCATTTCTGTTTAACATTTGAACTTTATTTTTTTTTCTTGGTGTTTATAAAAGCAATATTTTTTTTAATTCAGGCCTGCTATTTATTTACTTGTAAGGTTATTTGTTTATTTTGTTTTGATTTTTTTTTTTCTGAAAAATTGTAAAGTTTATCATTTCTGTTTTGGAATTGAAATTTATTTGTGTACTTTTGGAAATTGATTATACCGGGAATTAGTTAAAAAAAATCTTGTATTAGAAATTAGGTCATCATTTCTTTGCACGTCCCTTGCATGCTACTAACCTTTGCACTGACATGTCAACTTTGACCTTTAGTGACAGATGATGTGCATGAGTGTTACTTTGTCTGAGTG